GTTCCATTGTATCTTCTTTGCTCCTTTGTCAAAAATTAGGTGTCCATAAACTCGTGGGTTTATATCTGGGTTTTCTATTTGAATCCACTGGTCTGTGGTCTGTTCTTATTCCAGTACCATGCAGGTTTGATTATTATTTGCTCAAAAATTTTTATATTTTAACTTGCTAAACTTCCTGTTGAAGCGTAGTTGAGTGCACTCCCCTTAGCCAATATTTCTACAGAAAATAATTATAAACCCTTAGACACACACACCAAAAAACCTCCCTACCAGTAGGAATTCACTGGCCAAATCTGTCAAGCAAGTAAGAAAAAGTAAGACCCAAATCACACAAATTCTTTCATTTCCTATTTCAGCATATGATGCCAGCATCGCCCTAATGCCCAATTGTGACAGAGGCATTAGCAAAATAAACTGATGAAAAGTATCAGATAGCCTCAGTGCTTCCCCTACATAGCTGGTGCATCTAGCAAATGTAGCAAAATCACCATTATTACTTCTTACTGACTTAAAGTGATGAATATTGCAAGTTGTATCATCCTGTATCACCCATGTCACAGGCAGTCCAGATAGATCAAGCTGATAGATCAGTGGTTTGAAAATGGATTGAGAGAAAAGCCTGCAACGCTGAGACTATTTTAGAACACCTTGCTCATCAGAATGTTGATTGGACAGAGGGCAGAAAGAGCTGATGTGGAGAAACTGGAGCAGGGGGGCTGGTTTATCTGACTCCACCACATGCCACCTTTGAGCACTCAGCACACGGAGCAGCTCACAGCAGTCTTGCCTTTATACAGCAGCAAGGACAGACTGCTCTCCTGGTTGGCTTAAAAGCAAACAAACAAAATCCTAAAAACTATACAGGAAACGAAACTTTTGCAGTTATAATGTCAACTTTCATATAATTGAAAAGATCAGGAGCTGAATTAGAAGCACAGTTAAATTGTACTGCCTAGGGCCTCCAATGTGGCCCCAGGATTAAGTCTCAGAGCTATCAAGCTATCCGCAGCCACTGCAGCTTGAGTTCGATCCCCAGCCCCGGAGGTGACTCACATGGCGCAGCAGACCTCTCCTGTCTCGCCCGCTGCTCCCCTCAGCAGTGTGTTTCAGTAGATCTGTTTGTTCTGCTCCCCACTCTGTCTCTGGTGAATCCTCCTCCCTCCCCCCACCTCTGGCCTGCCCCCATAAATAAATAAAATAAACAAATTGTATTGTATAAAATCTGACAGTGCTGGTCTCTATAAATTCCAAAGCTTCCACTATGAAACTTGAGATTTATGTTTTATTTCAACATTTACCTGTGTCCTGCTCCATTTCGATTCTGCTCACAGCAAGAGCCAGTCACCGTACATTTGGTGAAATCCCTCTCTCTCTCTGTCTGTCTCCTCTGCCTTGCCATCTCTCTCCATCATGAGACCTCTTATGTTTGGGAGCTCCAAAATTGAACTTCAAATTGCATAAGGCTTGTAATTTATGTGCTACATTCAGTGTTTTATAAATTTGGATGTATGGAGTGATTTCTAGGAACACCACAGTGATGAGTCAGTCCACCTCACAATTGCAAACAGTTTTCTCTAACTAAAAGCAATTAAATATTTCTATGTTCACCTACATTTTCCAATACTACAGTGAACATAGGTTATTTCTGCAATTCAGGGACCAGGGGTGATGACAAAGACACACCCCCAAAGTTAGGGGACAGGAAGGAAATGTGGAAGATGACATTGGGGTGTCTCCATTTGGAAAGAGTGGAAGTTCCAACCTTTTTCTCTTTTTTTAAAGACTTATTTATTTATGCATACAGAACTGGGGTACAGGCCAGAGGTACAAGGGCAGTGAGAGGATTCACCAGAGACAGAGTGGGGAGCAGAACAAGCAGATTGATGAAGTACACTGCTGAGGGGAGCAGCTGGCAAGACAGGAGAGGTCTGCTGCACCACGTGGGTCAGCGCCTGCTGAGGGATGGGACTTGTGCTGCAGTATCTGCACATAGCTCCAAGGTGCTGAGACTTAAGCCCTTGAGCCACCAGGGCGGCCCAAGGGACAGACTTTTTAAAGCACCTGCTCTCCCCAACCAAAACATAACAGGATTTGGCTAAGTAACTCTTGGGCATCACGCCAATGTAAACACTGAGTTGACTTTATCTCAGTCAAGGCTAAACTTCAGCCTCAAGAAGTATTTAAGTATTTACCAGAGGTCTAAATGCTCTTAAGTGTCAGAGAAGTGTTTATCAAGACTACAGTGGTTACAATACATGATGCAAATTTAAATTGCCCAGAGAAAAATCCCCATCACAAAAGCACTTCAGGACACTGCTCATGATAAAAACACAGGCAAAGCCTCTTCCGTCAGGCACCTGTTGTGGTGTGATTTGGCACTTTATTAACTTAAACATGTAACAGGAATATCATCTAGCCCCCTCACTAGTAAACTACAGTAATTCAGAATTGTCACCCACACAGGCATTTCTCAATGAACCCTGCAGTATTTCCTGTGTGTCTCTGTGTGTGTGTGAAGGGGGCACAGGTGTGAATGGACATGTTACCTTCTGGATAGCAGTTTGAGCGTCTGTCTCACTAAGTAGCTCCCGGTCCACAGAAACTCCATCTCCTGTGTGTGAAGAGGAGCTGCAAATTGTAGTAAGCCAATGCCCGCCCCATATAGATTTCTATAAATCTATAAAGTCTCCTTTCTTTGTGCAGCCAAAGAAAAGAAATTAGGAACTACAGCAGCAATATACAATCACATTTCCCCCATCTCAGTTAACTCACATAACAGCGAGGGGGTTTGAATCAGAATTAAGTTCAACTGTTACTTTTTTTTTTTTTAAGATTTATTTATTTATTCATACAGAACTTGGGTACAGGCCATAGATGTGGAGGGTGAGAGGATTCACCAGAGACAGAGTGGGGAGCAGGACAGGCAGATTGACAAAGTACACTGCTGAGGGGAGCAGCGGGCGGGTCAGGAGAGGTCTGCCACGCCATGTGGATCTCCTCCCAGGCAGGCGGGGATCAAACTCATGAGGAAGTGGCTTAAGCTTCTTAGTGTTGTGCTTTAACCTGCTGCGCCACCAGGGAGGGCCTTCAACTGTTACTTTCACGTTAAGTAAATGTGACCTGGGAGTGGGGATGAAGGGCTCACAAATGTGACCTTTATAACTCCTGAAGTGAGAATTGTAACAGAAATGACCACACTGGGTATTTGTAAGGATTAAATAAGCTAAGATTCATATATTTCTTAGCACAGGGAGTACATACCCAATCAATGGTAACTTTATTCTTCTTCTTTAATAATTGCCTCAACTTTTACAAGACTGTCAGGCAGTTATAAGCTCCCTATTGGAGAGGTGAACTCAGTGAATTATCCAGGGTTAACCAGTTCATTCATCAGTGGCAATTCCAGGGCTTCTGATCCAGGCCCCGAGTTCAGGCGCTCACTCCATCAGCCCTCGTCAACCTTATAGACTTTTACAGAATGGGATGCACTGTCCAGCACAAGAAGAGAATTCTCCTTGGTGAAGGTGAGGGCCACAGGATGGGAAAGACCGTGGGTGATGATGGGCTGCAGAACTGGAAACTCCTCAGGTTTTCCTAAGCTTAGGACTGCCTGACTAGAAGTATCTGCAATAATCACATTACCCTGCTGATCGAAGGTCACAGCGGAGGCAATTATTTTGGAGGGGAAGAAGAGGCTCAGCCCAAAGGTATCCACCTGACGGAGGAGCTGCATACTGGCGCTAAACACCTTGACGGTAGTGCTGCAGGCCCCCGCCCCCAGCGCCAGGGGGCGCTCGAGGACCGCAATAGCCCCGGTGAGCCAGGACACCGCCACCCCTCGGGGACTGCACAGGTGAGCTTGCAACCTCTGGGTTCTCCGGAGGACCCCTTCCGGAAAGTCAACTTCCAGGAGGTGCAGAGAACCTGCTTCTGCATCAGTTACCACGACCCCATTCTGAGGGGTGGTCTCCACACCCCAAGGTAAGGCGAACTGGCCTCCGATGACCAGCTTGAGCTGGCCAAGAAAATCAAACACTTTGATGGAACGGTCGCCGGCATCGGTGACAATCACATAGCAGTCGTTGGTGACGGTGACATCGAGCGGGTACCTAATGTCCTGAGCAGCATCCCCCTTCTCTCCAAACTGATGAGCGCATCCTCCCCCAGAGTCAAAAATCCTGACCCGCCTCCTGCCGTCGTGCACCACCACGACCCGCCCCGTCTGGGGACACTGCGCCAGCCCGGTGGGGTTGACCAAAGTCCCCCAGCCGCCGAAGGCGTGGTGGCAGGAGAAGTTCCCGGGGATGGAGGCGGCAGCGCGCTGGGTTCCCGGGGCGGGAAGTAACTCCAGTAGGTTCAGCACCGGCAGGCAGTCGCTGGTGTCGCTGGCCGGGCAGGCTCGCCGGCAGAAGGGGCACTCGAGGGCCAGCGTCCGAGGGTGCGCCAGGGCGGTCACGCAGGCCAGACAGACCACGTGGCCGCAGGGCAGGTTACGGGGGCGCCGCTGTTGGCTGTGGCCGAACCTCTCAAAACACACCTTGCACTCGAGCAGGCTGGTCTCGGCCTCGCGCATGAGCTCCCGCAGCGCCGGCCCGCTCCCCAAGGCCTCGGCGCCCATCGCACAGCCCGGGGCCCTCCCTGGGCCCTCCCTCCGCACAACGCAGCCCCACGCAGGCCCAGCGCAGCTGGCGGTCACGGTCACGGTCACGGGGCGGGGTCTGAGTCTGACGTCCAGCGCGGCAGCCTCTGCGCTGCTGCCCCCTGGTGGGCGCGCGCGGTACTGTTTTCTGAGGCCGGTGAGTGGACATTTACAAGCTGTCCTCGTCCAGGGAGATGACCTGTCATCTTGCTAACAGAGCTTGGATGAATTGTCTCCACGTTACACACCAGGAAGCACACCTGTTGGGGACAAGCTGGTTGCTCCCGCTTAAATAACCTGTAAGTGTCAAAGCTAGAACTAGAACCCAGTGTTTTATCTCTGGTGCCTGTTATGATAATCCAAGAAATGCGGTGAGTGAGTGACTGTGGGTGTCAAATGTGGGAGATTACAGCTGGGGACGCCTTCAAGTGAAATTGTTATGAAACAAAATTGCTAGTTATTAATAATTGTTATAGACTGTACTCCGTGCCAGCCCTTTTCTGAGGGGTTTCTATAGATTATTTTATTGAAACCTCATGACAATTAAATAAGAGTATGCGATTTTCATTAACCTTGCTCTACAACAGAATTCATAGATGTTAAATATCTGACCCAGGGTTGGCCCTCCCTGGTGGCGCAGCGGGTTAAAGCACTGCACTAAGAAGCTAAGGCCACTTCCGCAAGAGTTCGATCCCCGCCTGCCCCGGAGGTGACCCACATGGTGCAGCAGACCTCTCCTGACCGGCCCGCTGCTCCCCTCAGCAGTGTACTTCGTCCATCTGCCTGTTCTGCTCCCTGCTCTATCTGTGGTGAAGCCTCTCGCCACCCCTGAACCTCTGGCCTGTACCCCAGTTCTGTATGCACAAATAAATAAATCTTTAAAATAGTATATATATATCTTACCCAGGGTCAATGGGCTGGAATCGAAGCCCAGTGATTTTCAAGCTTGTTTGCACGTGGAGAAAGCTTGGGTCTCATCCCCAGGAATTTCATTGTCTGTGGCTCCTGGGTGTGGTCTGGGTAGCTGGAGTATTTATTTAAAAGCTCCTAGATGATGAGGACTGTGCAGGTAAGTTTGAGAACTATGGCACCATAATCTCTACAAAGGGCATCAGGTTAAATTCTTCCAACCTCAGCTGGGATTGAGAGCACAGAGAGATGCTACTGTATGCTCAAAAATCTTCAAACAGGATATAGCATAATCTCGCTGAGGAATCCACTGTGGTTCTACAATCTCTTTCAGCCATCCTCTCTCAGTGTCTTACAGAAGCGTTGCCTCTGGCCAAACCCACCCTCAAATCATTTTTCTTCCCTTAAAGATTGTTACCAGGGCCCTCCCTGGTGGCACAGCAGGTTAAAGCACTGCACTAAGAAACTAAAGCCACTTCCGCATGAGTTCGATCCCCACCTGCCCCACAGGTGACCCACATGGTGCAGCAGACCTCTCCTGACCTGCCCACTGCTCCCCTCAGCAGGATACATGTCGATCTGCCTGTTCTGCTCCCCACTCCATCCCTGGTGAATCCTCTCACCACCCCTGCATCTCTGGCTTGTACCCCAGTTCTGTATGCATAAATAAATAAATCTTTAAAAAAAAGAGATTGTTATCAATCGCTCACCCTCATATTTGCTAGACGTCTGAGAAAACAGTGTCATTGCTTTTTTCTTCCCATTAAAACCTCCGCATGAGGGCCCTCCCTGGTGGTGCAACAGGTTAAAGCACAGCACCCTGAAGCTCTCTGCAGCTGCTTTACCCAGAATTCGATCGCAGGCCAGGGTGGTGACCCACATGGCACAGCAGACATCTGACCCACCTGCTGCTCCCCTCAGCAGTGTACTTTGTAGGTCGGCCTATTCTGCTCCCCTCTCTGTGTCTGGTGAATCCTCTCACTACCCCTGTACTTCTGGCCTGTACCCCAGTTGCATATGCATAAATAAATAAATCTTAAAAAAAAAAGAACTAAGGAAATATATTCTCGACACAAGAATGGAATATTTTTAGAAATTGTACCAGCTAACAGAAATAGGAGATCTACAAATGTGTTACATTTCCTTGTTGCCACATTTTTGAAAATAAAAACTAGTGAAATTCACTTAAGTTCGTATTTTATTTATCCCCAAATGTTATCATTTTGATGTCACTATAAAATTATTGAGCTTTTTATTTTAAAATTTTATTTATATATACAAGAACTGGGGTATAGGCCAGGAGAGTGAGAGGTGAGAGGATTCCCCAGAGTGGGGAGCCAAGCAGGCAGATTTGCTGAAATACACTGCTGAGGGGAACAGTAGGAGAGACAGGAGAGGTCTGCCACGCCATGTGGGTCAGCTCCCTGGCCGGGGATCAAACTGGTGCCGCAGTGGCTGCAGATAGCTTCCTAGTGCTGTGCTTTAACACCTTCCACTGCCAGGGTAGCCCTATTGAGCTATTTTATACTTTTTTTTTTTTTTGGTACTAAGTAAAATCCAGTAAGTTTTATACTCACAACACACCCCAGTCCAGACTAATCTCAACAGCCCGCATTTGGACAGATTCTCTGCTGTGCAATAGTGCCTTCTCCACATGCTTTTCAGACTGCGTTCATTGACCTTTGACTAGCTTTTTACTTCTCTCTGCTTTAATACTATTTCAAAAACGGATCCAAAGAGCCCAGCTCACTGGGGACTGTGGCGGAGCTTACACAGCCCCTATGTGCCAGTCAGCCTGACTGTGACTCAGGCGGGCTGGGCTCAGCTTCCTGCTCTGCAGCCTACGGTCCCTGCCTATGTCGTCTTAGCCTTTTGCTGCCCCCACGGGGCGACCAGGAGTACTGCACCCAGAGGCCGTGGGTGTTCAGGGAAGTAAGGGGGAGGGGCTGCAACCCACCCACATATTTAAGAGAGTTCCCAGGGACGCTCTGGGGCTTGGTAGGTAGATAGCGCTGTGTGGTTCTGGAAAACATTGCCCGCCCACACCCACAGTCTACCCTAGTGATGTGTTGCCAACACACGACTCGATGCATGTAAAGTATGAACATTAAGCTGAGTGGCTTTTGATGGGGACTTGTTTTTGTCAATTTCATAAAAGCTTCAGAACTAAAAGTGCTGAGCCTTTCCTGAGGACCCTCACATTCTAGCTGGGTTTTGCCATCTCTGTGGTTTTCTCCCTCTCCACAGAATACCCCTCTCTCCACACCTTTATCTTTTTTACTAATTATATAGAGTCCAATTGTCCTCTTTAAAAAAAAAAGTTTATTTATTTATGCATACAGAACTGGAGTCCAGGCCAGAGGTGTATGGGCAGTGAGAGACTTCACCAGAGACAGAGCGGGGAGCAGAACAGGCTGGCTGAAGAAGTACACTGCTGAGGGGAGCAGTGGGCGGGTCAGGAGAGGTCTGTCCCACCATGTGGGTCACCTCCCGGGCTGGGATCGAACTCATGCTGAAGTGGCTTTAGCTTTTCAGTGCTGTGCTTTAACCCGCTGTGCCACCAGGAAGGGCCCCAATTGTCCTTTAATACATACTAAAATTGTCCTAATCTCCATTGCCCCTTCTTTCTGCTCCTGTCGCTGAAGAAATAAATTCCAGGAGAGAGGAAACCACATATGGTTTTGCTCAGCCCCTTATCAGTGTACCCAGTACATGCCTGATACACAGTAGGAACTAACAAATGTGTTTTAAATGGATGACTGAATGAGTGAGTGAAAGAGGGAAGAAAGGATACTGCCGGATACAGCAAATGCAAATGCTATGCCTTTTCTTTGATGATGGTCTGGTTCGGGAAGGAGCATTTATCCTGCTAAGCATTTTGTTTATCTCTGGAGTCAAAGCTTAGAGGTTTCTCAAATATTTTATACATTGTATTCTCCGTCATATGTACATACTTTGATTTAAAAAGATATGCCATGGCACCTCCCTGGGGCACTAAGGGGTAACTCTCTGCATTGAAGCAATCTGCAGCCACAGCAGCACGAGTTCTATCGCTGGCCAGGGAGCTGACCCACATGGTGCAGCAGACCTCTCCTGTC